CCAAAAAAAAGTCTGAACTCAACTCACTGAAACAAACAAATAATAACTAAAAAAAGAAGTGGAATTTTAAGAACTGGGATGAGGGAGAGATCATAGGCCATCTAGGTTTGCTAACTGGCATTACCCAATGGAAAAGTAAACCTGATATCTTCATTACAGGAGGTAGTTGTACAACTTGGGTTAAAGCCCTCAGCTCCCACAGAAAATGAAAGATAGGGTCACTCCCTTCCTTGATGATTATACTTCAAAGAGATGATGCTAGATTTTTGAGGAAGACATTCCTGGATGATAAAACTGGCAAGATGCTTTTTAAATGATCTACGTCTCAAAGGGGCAGAAAAGGGATTTATAAGTAAGAGTTTCTAAAGTAAATGCTCTAAGACAAAGGAAGTCAGGAGTCTAGGGACAGAAGGAATCCTCTCCAAAGTTTAATCAAGCTGAGAGAAACATTAAGGCAACGCTGATCAATATGTATACAATAGTCTCCTTTATCCCCAGTTTTGCTTAATGGGATTTCAGTTACCCAAGGTCAACCATAATCCAAAAATATTAAGTGGAAAATTCCAGAAAACATACAGAGCTTTTAAATTATTCCCAGTAGCATGATGAAATCTCACACTGTCCTGCTCCGGCCCACCCAGGATGTGAATCATACCTTTGTCCAGTGTATCCATGCTGTATACCACACCTGCTCACTAGTCACTTCAGAGTCCTCTTATTTATCACATCATATAAACATAATACATGTGGAGTTCAGGACTATCTGCGAACTCAGGCATCCACTGGAATCTTGGAACATATCCTAGTAGATAAGGGAGGGCTTCTGTATGTCTCTGCCTAGCTTCTTCCCTCTTCGTTGCCTATTGTGTCTTTCTAATATTTCTCTGTCTCCCTATTTATCATCTCATTATTGGCGAAGGATTTTAAAAGTATAAAATATGAATCTTATGAAAATATAAACACTCCTAATAGCTCACTATTAAAGTAAGCTTTGCCTATGGATAATGGCCCTATTATTCATGAAAGCCTTCCCTCTGGACATTTTTTTTTTTCTGTCTTACACCTTTTAAAACCATTTCTTCCAGTGATTCCTCATGTCCTCCAAGGATCATAGTCTAACATGGGTTGTCTAAAATTATGTGTTGTTGTGCTGTTACTGTTTTCCTTCATTTGTCTTTAGAGTTTCTCTACTGATGCATTTCATTGTCTTTTTTCCCAGTGTTCCCACATATAAATATTAGGTAAATCATGTGTGATATTGTAAGCAGCAGCAAATCCATATGAGTCTGCAGCAATCTAAATTCTTACCTGTCCAGAAGAAAGAATTTGACCAATAAGCATAAGGCAGAGTGAGAGACGGAGGCAAGTTTCAGAACAAGAGAGAGCATTTATTAAAAAGTTTTAGAACAGGAATGATAGGAAGTAAAGTACACTTGGAAGAAGGCCAAGTGGGTGACTTGAAAGATTTAAGTCAGCAGTTTGACCTTAGACTTGGGTCTTATACATTGGTATTCCTCTGGGGTTGTGTTACTTCTCCCTTGATTCTTCCCTTGGGGTGGGTGGTCTGCATGTGCAGTGGCCTATCAGCACTTGGGAGGTGATGAACATGCACTGTGTGTGTATTACTGAAGTTGAGCACATGCTCACTTGAGGTGCTTTCCCTTACCAGTTGAGTGTCCTAGAGGAAGGTCATATACCAGTTAGACTCCACCATGTTGCCTCTTAAAGCACATGCTTGAGCCCACTTGCCCGACTTCTGAGAACTTACCTGGAAGCAGCTGATCACCAGTTTCAGGTGTTTTCTATCTATTGGGAGGCTGCCTTTCCCTGACACTGGCTGCAACCAATTATTATTTTAGGCAGACTTTTAACAACTGCCTGATCATCACATGATGGTCGCCTGAACATTCATGGCGGGTGGGGGCCCTCTCCTTCCCTGCTCATATGTGTCTAACAACTTACTGTAACAATATGTGCTTGGATTAATTTTTAGATATTCATCTTGCTTGCTTAACTAGAGAGTTGTGGAAAAAATGAAACAGAGGCTTGGTGAAATGAGAGTCTTAGGAGTGCCTGAAAGCATTGCATTTCCCTAGCTGAGCCTCTCTCGTTTTCTCTTCTGTCTCTCTCTCTCACTATCTCTCTTTCTCTCCCTCTCCCACTTTCTGTGTCTCTCTGTCTCTCTCCCTCCTTCATTTATAACTATCTCCTTCATTTATAGCTCTCCCCTTCATTTATAATTCTAAACTCTAGTCTGCTGTATCTGAGTTCTTTCGCCAGCCCTGGTAAACTCACAGAGAGGTCCTACATGACAAAAAGCAAAGTTGAAGGGAAATAACTTGAGAAGGATGCATTTGAAACACAGCTCTGTTCACTCTTCAAATAACTCCTCTGGGTAAATGCTGTTACCCTGAAAATATGATCTTGGAAGACGAATATTTGAAAAATGAGCCCATTATAAGAATATAAACAGTAAAGGGAACTTCACATATAGCAGAAAATTAGAAGGAATATAAAAAATGCCAATAGTAGGAAAGCCTAGGTTGTTATCTATCAAGTGATAATGCTATCCATCCTACTACATTAAGCAGAAGTCTAAATTCTGAAACATTCACAAAGAGGATGAAAGCAGGGAAGCTGACTTACAAATTAGAACTCTAGTTTAATAAATGCCATGCTGCCCAGACAAAGGGGGAAGAAATGAACAAAGGTAAATGTCCATCCACAAGTGTTTTTAAAATCTTTTGCTTTTTTGAACATTTCATTTATGAAATGAGAATGAAATATATAAATTTATATTTATATAAATGTAAATATAAACACACATGCTTTGTATAGTATGTTGAAACTTTCTGTAGACAGAAAAGAGATAGACTAGATCTTTCCAGGATTTCTGTCTTCCAGGTATATTTAAATATTACATTTTTGTGAAAAATCAATGAGAGTCCTGTTGGTGGTAGACTCAGTGATGGAGGGGACATAGGGTCCTCAAAACTGACCATAGAAGTTAACCTCAGAACAGCCTCATGGTCTGATGACATTAGCTCCTTTGTCATGCACAAGAGCCAGAATTCAATCATCACTACTACACTTAGATAGAAGCCTTCCAATGGAATGAAGGCAAATAAGACACTTGACCCATGGAAGACATGCCAACAATGGCAGGAGAAAGCCTGGGGAATGGGCAGTTTACAGGGGCCTCATTCTAAGGGCCCTATATTTATCAAGATTGTAATGACCCTCTGCATTTTTACTACTATTAACACTCAACTAGAAATTTTCTTGTCTCTTTTCCCTTACACTGTATTTCTAAAAAGCAAGCTGAGGAAATAATGACGGTATATGAGACAATACACTGATTAAGTATCCAGGAAAACCAGCCAATGATACCATTGAATTATTTATTATGAACACATATTTTAAACTGGCAACAAATTGTGCTTGAGAATATAAATTGCCTGGAGTACTAAAGAGCCTAGTTGCGCATTTACTTAATAAAGGTATGGATGACATGCAAGTGATTTTCCATTAGATATACCTTTCTTTTGCACTCTTAAATGAATATTTTGAATAACCCTCAACAACCTTTATTCAGTGATAGACAATCCAGTTCATGCATATTCTGAAGTCACAAAATATTGAAGCTTCAAATGAAACTCTGTCAAGTACCTTGAGTTAAGAAGAACATTCAGTAAATCGATGAATTAAGGGAAAGAGGGACATTCAGCAAACTAACAAAGTAGGGGTCTACTTATTCTCCTGTGAAAAGAAATTCATTTTTCACACGCTTAAAGTTAATGGTTAATTGTAAAAACAGAAGTTGAGGAAAGTCTTGAAGTGATGAAATATATGAAGTTAAAACAAAAATGTGAAAACAAAAACACATTGTAATGGACACTAATGCCTTAATTAGGCTAGAACATTACATTGTGAACAAATTATTGTCCTTGATGGACAGACATATGAATAATGAATTTGGTGATTTTTTTTTTTTTTTTTTTTTTTTTTACTGCTTCAGATCTGAGATAGTTAATGATCTTTATTTATGATGTGTATTTATGATGCATTTGTCACCAATCTTTGTGTTGTTAAGGAGGCTGGTGGGTGCTCACCTGTTCTTTCTATAGTGTACTTACGTGACTGTCCTTAATTTGTGGTCAGAAGTGCTATTTGGGAGCCTGTGGTTTTAACTGACTTTGATGCACGATTCCTGGTTGGTTCAAAGTACTTGCTCAGAATCAGCTGCCCTTACCTTTTAATTTTATATTGAACAAGCCTGTCTATTGCTACATTTCTAGTTTGTCTCCTGTTCTCCTCCTTCTTTGTCATGCAGACATCAGGATATCTGTAAAGTATTTCCACTCTTTTCGCTCACACTGCAGCTGTTTGCTTCTAGATGGAGTGAGACTTGTAAGTATAGTACATTGTGCTACTGGGAATTACAGAGATCCCAATTTTTTCTCATTAAATTATCTACAAGGAAATTAAGAACAGAAATTGTATTCTGCCACTTACAAACATGGAGAAATTTATTTCAATCCCATCTGCGATGGGATTTTTATTTAACCCAAAAAGAAGGAAAGAGGGAAAAAAGAATAAAAGAGAGAAAGATGGGGGAATAGGGAAGGGGAAAAGAGAGGGAAAAGCAAAGGCAGGAAGAAGAAAGGAAGGAATCAAATCAAAGGTTGATGTTTTCTTTCTATCATTTAAGCTTTTTACTATTGCATATTAATGAGCAATATCCATTCTAACCTCCCCACCCCCCATTTCCGGCTTATCAAACAACCAACAAGGGCAAAGAGGGTGGATATATAACAGTTGTGACTTGTTTACTCTGGAACCAGCCCCTATTTTCAGGTTGAAATTAAATCACATAGCACCTTGGTGGTTAAGTACAGGTGTCATTGCTGCTGGCCAGGTTTTTGGGGAAGGCTACAAGATGACTGATGTCCCTGGTGTGGCTCTGAGGCAAGAAATCTGCCTCCCTTCACTCTACTCACCATTTATAATGATCGCACCTTTCTTCCATCATTCCCCTTGACTTCATGAGCTGCGAGTGTTCCGGGAGAACGTGCTTGATTCTCCTCAAGAGTTCTGTGTTCTGGCATTGTTTGCTGGCCTGGTTCCAAATAGCTTAGTCCCCAAAAAATTCAAGGTGGAAGGGTGACATGGATAGTGATATATACTATGATAGCTGATTTGAGTGGTGATGGGGCTTTAAAGTTAACCACTAAACTATAGGAGATTGGTGAAAACCTTTATGAGAGAGGTTCTCATCCATATCCACCATGCTGCTCACTGGTGGCCGTACGGAGCCATTATAAACAACAGCACAGCTCACTGGAGATGCCTGCCCCTTGTAGCATTAAAACAGCTACCCCAAACCCATTGAACTCTTCTATAAAACCCCATTAATATGAATCCAAGTTTCCATAAAAATTAGCAGCGATATCCTATTGAGAACAAGGAACTTGAACTGATTTCATAGCCTTCAAAACCAAGCACAAGGTTTGTGAAATATGAATTTTTTAAATTTGTCTGTCATCTCTCCCCTCTCTTCCCTGCACCATGTCCCTGTTCTTTCTAATTTACTCTCCTATAACCTTTCCTGATTTCATGTCTCCAGAACCACCTTTTGCCTCATCTCTGCTGTGAAACATATACCACTACTATTTGGGAAAAAAATGACTGGTTTGGGTTTTAAAAGAGTATCTCTACTTGGTCTTTCTAAAAATCTCCTCTTCACCTTCAGCAGAAAATCCATTAGCTCCATGAATCAACACATCCTATCCAGAACTTCTCTCCTCCTTCCAACGATCTCGTTCAGTGATCCCAGTACATGGCATCACTATCTTTAGTATCCAAGCACAGAAATTCCTTTAATTTTTTCTCAAATCTCACATCTAATTGTCACCAATAGATGTTGAATTTGCATTAGACATTATTTCTCAAGCTGTCAACTCTTTATTAATCACAGAAGTTACCAATGTATTTTTTCCCCACTGAATTACTGTAAGAACCACAAACCTATTGACTTCAGCCTTGTTTCTTGTTATCTATATTTCTGTGTTATCAGTATGATTTTACTAAAATACAAATCAATTGTTCCTTCCCTGTTTAAAATCCCATGATGGCTTCCTAAATCTCAGAGTATGAAAGTCAAAAAGCCTTAGGATTCATACCAGGTTCTTCATGATCTGTCAGCTTTCTGGCATTATATGCTAATTTCCCCCAAGTATATTCTTTGATTCCATGTCCATTTAAAGTGTCATGCTTCCAAGCTGGGTGCAGTGCCATGTGCCTGTAGTCCCAGATACTCAGGAGTCCAAGGCAGGAGAGATACTTGAGGCCAGGAGTTCAAGGCTACAGTGTGCTATGATCGTTCCTATGAATAGCCACTGCATTCCAGCCTGGGCAACCTAGCAGGACCCATTTCTAAATTTACAAAGAAGGAACTTAATTTTTTTTAAAGTGTCATGCTTTCAAATGACTCTGCACCTATGCACATGAGCACACTGTTTCCTCTTGGAATCCGTCACTCACATTTATTTCCCTAGACCTCAAAACAGGCTCAAACATCATCTCCTATCATACTCTCCTTAATAAGTTTTACTTAGTTGTTTATTTTTTTACTCTGTATTACACTATTTTCTAATTTTCCACAGAACTGTAAGCTTACAATGCCAGGGCTTATATTTCAGTTTTTCTTGATTCTTGGGGACTAGCTTAGTGTGTGAGGTTTCTCCCTCTCACTCTCTCTCTCTCTCCCCCTCCCCCATCTGTCTCTGTCTCTCTCTCATCTCTTTCATATGTTTATGAGAGAGAATATATATATATATATATATATATCTTAGTTCATTTGGGCTATAATAATAAAAATAGCATATACTGGAAAGATTATAAAACAACAAAATTTTTTTTATAGTTCTGAAATCTGGGAAGTCCAAGATAAAATTGCCAGCAGATTTTGTGTCTACTGGGTACCCACACCTGGTTCACAGACAGCCATCTCTTTGCTGTGTCTCCACACGGCAGAAGGGGGAGAGAGCTCTCTGAAGCACCTTATATAAGGGCATGGATCTCATTCATAAGAGATCCATCCTCACGACTGATAACCTTCAAAAACCCCCACCTCCAAATACCATCACATTGGGAAATTTGCTTTCAAGAAGTAAATTTATAAATTTTGGGGGGCAACAAACATGTAGGGGGTGTGTGTGTGAGAGAGAGAGAGAGACAGAGAGAGCGTGTCTCCACCATTCAGTATAGATTTGTTGAGCAAGTGAATCACTAAAATAAATTTAGAAATAAATAGGAGATTTCAGTTCCAGCAAAGAAGGAGAAACTAGAGCTACATTTGCCTCCCTGCACAAAACAACTTGAAAAATAAAATGCATGAAACAACAGTTTTCAAGACCTTGGACATCAGGCAGCAGAAGACAATGACCCCTGAAAATAAGAACGAACACAAAGAACTCTATGATTAACAGTTTACTGCTGGGAGAGCATATCTAAGTCATGGGATGGCAGGGTCCTCACCCAGTAGAGCCTGGCAGTCTCCTAGAGTTGAGCAGACAGAGCTGAGAGTCAGGGGAAGCAAAGGCAACTAGAGTTCTCAGTGCAGAATACAGGAGAGGAGAGACCTGCACAGAGGAGCACAAACATTCAGATTTGTCGTACGTGTTTAATAAACTGTCATTATCAACGTCATTAGAAAATAGATGTCTTGGCCGGGCGCGGTGGCTCACGCCTGTAATCCCAGCACTTTAGGAGACCGAGGCGGGTGGATCTCAAGGTCAGGAGATGGAGATCATCCCGGCTAACACGGTGAAACCCCGTCTCTACTAAAAGTACAAAAATTAGACGAGTGTGGTGGGGGCGCCTGTAGTCCCAGCTACTCGGGAGGCTGAGGCAGGAGAATGGTGTCAACCCGGGAGGCGGAGCTTGCAGTGAGCCGAGATCGCGCCACTGCACTCCAGCCTGGGCGACAGAGCGAGACTCCGTCTCAAAACAAAAAAAAAGGCTGTCTTTATTCCTGATAATATTATTTGCTCTGAAATCTAGCTTTATGATATTTACATAGCCACGCTAGCTTTGATTTAATTAGTGTTAGAGCGCTCTTCTTTTCCATCCTTTTAACCAATTTCTGTCTTTCTTTATATTTCAAGTAGATTTTATTAAGACCGCAAACACCTGTGTCTTACTTTTTGAGCCAAATTGATAGTCTTTTAATTGGGCTATGTAAACCATTTAATTTTAAGGGATTATTGATAAGGCTGTGTTTTAAATCTACCATCTTAATTGTCTTCTATTTATTCACTTATTCTTGTCCCTTTTTTTTCTGCCTGTTTTTTGGCTTTGTGTATATAAATAGTCTAGGTTTACGGCTTGGAAAATGTAATTGTGAACAAAAATGACTGTTTGTATTATGATTATTCCATTGTTAAAAACAATAATCAAGCACTTGGATACTAAAGAATCATCCAGAAATAAAATACTTGATTTCTCAGGTGAAAAAAAAAAAAAAAAACCCTCTGAGGGCACTCTATGTGCAGCCTAGAAAGGAAGGGATTAAGACTGCAGGAGTGAAAACATAGATGTTACTGATACAGATACAGATATAGACATAGATATAGATATGGATATAATTTTGACATTTGGATCCCAAGGCTGAAGTGTATGCAAGACTATGCCCCAAAAATCTTTCCAGTTTATTTCCTAACATAGCATTACTTTCTCAGAAACATTGTTTTGATTTTAGTACGTGATAAGTCATACTGAATTTTTACTTTTTCCTATTCATATTTTTCTTTAAACAGAGATCGTACCCTGTCCTCGCTATGTCTTCTGGGAGGCAATCTTACAAAGTTGTAATTTGGAAAAACAATTACTGATGTTTTTTGTAGATTTTGCCTGACTCTGAAATAAATAATCAGAACAACTAAATTGAAAATGGGTTGGAAGAGAACCCATTGAAACCCAGTGGAATGAGGCAGTATCATACTATTATTAAAGCCAAAGCCATTTGGGTTGCCAGAAATCATAGTAAATACAGTGTTAATGAACCACTTCACATTAGTTATCTACTTCTATTAGGGGCTGAACATCCATGGGGAACTGGAATCTGTGGGCAGAAAAGTAGATGCTACTAAGCCGCTAGTACAGGCTGCTCAGTAGCTGAGAGGGTCAGGGATTACAGAGCTTTTCGTGGGTGAGCTAGGCTGTGTTCAGTCCACCATGATGATTTCTGTAGCCCACTTAGTTTGGAAAAGCTTCCTAATATTATATCTATCTCGATGATGATGATAATATGATGCTAACTTTCAAAATGGAGTTTATGGGAGGGGAGAGAGATAGAGAAAGAACAAAAATAATAAATAAATCAGAGATGATGCCACATTAAATGAAAGGACAGCCCATGAACTGAGTATACAGGTATCCCCAAGGATGGGAATTAGGCATATCTACATTATGTTATCAAATACATTTTCCATGTTAAAATTAATAATAACCATATAATTATTTATGTTTCCAGATTTAATGGATAATTGACATTCTGTTAGGGAATTCAGATTGCTCCCTCAATGATTATTTCTGCACCTGAAGGTCACACACAATAGAATAATTATTACAAGAATGTTTCTCTCATTGCATTGTTTTCTAGAAACACTTGATAACACTACATGTGCCACAACCACTTAAGAAAATGCCGGCATAAGCACCATGTTTGCTTGTTTTTTAATTTTGAAAAACATCAACTAAGATCCCTGGCCACTATGATTCATGAAACATGCAATAAGTTGTTTTGAGAAAGATTGAAAAATAGAAAATACATGCTCCCAGCAGGCAAAACATTGCTGACATTTTAAATAATAATAAAACCGAAGACCTCAATCCATTTTGCATGTCAAAGAATAGGCATTTAATTTGTTTAGGTTATTTGGTTCAGTTTTGTGTTTCTTACAGAATTAGTTCAAGGATATTAAAAGTAAAATAAAAATCTAGATGACTGTAGAGAGCCAAGTAACTGATAGTTGGTTTTCCAACCAGAATAAAATGTCAAAGAGATT